TTATTTAGCTCAGTATTTACTGTGGCATTTAGAGCAAGGGGGTCAGGACTGGAGTAAATGAAGGTTGTGTCGTCAGCAAATAGAATTGGTTTGAGGTGTTGGGAGGCATTTGGAAGGTCATTAATGTAGATGAGAAAGAGGAGAGGGCCAAGTATGCTGCCCTGAGGAACACCAATGTTGATGGGTAGGGTGGGAGAAATTGTATTATTCACAGAAACATATTGGAGCCTGTCAGTAAGGTAGGATTTGAGGTATTGCAGGGAGTGTCCTCTGACTCCATAATGATGTAATTTAAGAAGAAGGTTTTGGTGGTTGACAGTGTCAAAAGCTTTACGCAGGTCCACAAATAACCCAACAGGGAACTCATTTTTATCAAGAGCTGTATGAATCGAGTTAAGCATACTAATAAGTGCATCGTTAGTGCTTTTTTGGGTCTGAAGCCATATTGGCAAGGGCTGAGTATATTGTGTTTGGCTAGATATGAGTAAAGCTGCTTATAGATTAGTTTTTCAAAATTTTTTGACAAGTTTGGCAGGATTGATATAGGTCTATAGTTGTTAACATTTGTGAGATCACCACATTTGTGGACAGGCGTTACTCTCGCTTTTTTTAGAATATTTGGAAAGGTTTGGAGTTCAAGTGACTTGTTGAAGAGCAAAGCAATAGCCGGGGCTAAAGATCTGGAGGCTTTTTTGTAAATTAAAGTTGGTATCTCCTCAAGGGCACTAGACTTGGTTTTAATGGAAAGGATTATCTCATTAACGTCAGTGGAATTAATAGGCTTTAGGTACAGAGACTGTGGATAGTTACCTGTAAGATAGTCCTTAATGTCAGTACTGGAAGATGGAATATCATTTGCAAGGGATTAACCAATGGAAGAGAAGAACCTATTGAACTCAATAGCAGAATCAGAGGCTGAAAGCTGACCATCGTTATTGGACAGGATTGTTGGTTTGTTATTTAAAGACTTCTTTGATCCCAATATTTGTGAAATTGTGCTCCAAGTTTGTTTAATGTTGCTCTTTATTTAGGTAAATTTATCTTCGTAGTATTTAGTTTTGGCTCGTCTAATTATCTTAGATAGCAATAATGAGTAATTCTTTGAGAATTCTTTGGAGACAATTCCTAACCTATACTTCTTCTCAAGGTCATGTTTTTTATTAATGGATTTAAGTATTCCCTTTGTAAGCCAGGGATTGTTAAGCCTTTTGGTTGTGACTTGTTTTGTAAGCATAGGACAGTGGGTGTTATAAAGGCTAAGAGTTTTTTGAAGAAAAGATTGCACTGCTAGGTTGATGTCCTCTATGTTACCTAACTCGGACTCCCAGTTGACATTATCAGCAGCAGTTATAAAATTGTCTATAGCAGTTTCATTGTGCAGTCTAAAACGTAACTCTCTTGACTCTAGAGGTGGTTTGCTAATGTTAGTTAAGAGAAAGGTGGGATAATGGTCTGTAGTGCTATCGGTGATTATACCTGAAGTAAGCGGAGAGGTTATGTTTGTCCAGATGTGATCTAGAGTCGTGGCAGTGCTATCAGTGATTCTAGTAGGTCTAGTGATTAAGGGTATGAGGAAGCAGGAATTCATACAGTTGAGGAAGCTAACAGCAGTAGGGTGTTCAGGCTCGCAGAGGTCAATATTAAAGTCCCCTGCGATAATTAGATGGTTTTTGTTCAGTCTGTTATCAAGTATTAGATTTCTAAGGTTTGAGTTGAATTCGGACACATCAATGTTAGGAATTCTATAGACTGCACCCACAGACAGGACAGACTCGGCACCCTTGACTCTGAAGCTGGCAAAGATATATTCCCCATAGCAGTCTCTAGTTCTAATTACTTTTAAGCATGTTAGTTCTTGGTGGTAGTAAAGAGCAGTGCCACCACCTCTCTGAAGTTGACGACAGTTGTGAATTGCCGAGTAGTTAGGCATGTTAAAGAGTTGAGTAGCATCCTCTTTCAACCATGTTTCAGTAAGTATAATAAAAGAGAATTTGTTGTCAATAGTTTCAATCAAGGCACTAACATCATCGAAGTGTTTACCTAGGGATCTAACGTTCAAGTTGATTACAGAGATATTGTGATTATGAGTTAATACATTGTTTACATCATGTGCTGCAAAATATCTGCAATTTAGATCATTAAAGTGATGATTGTCATAGATAGTGGATAAGAGGTTTAGTTCTGGGTCTATACTTGTCTGCATAAAAAAGCTGATTGCAGGAAAAACAAGGCAAATTACAAGGTAGAAATAAGCTATAAAATAGGGAAAAATATGTACACAATACTGCACAAAACAAACACAAAATGAATAACAAAAGAAAAAAATGAGGTAGCTTACAAGGGGCTTACAGGGGTACAATGGAGTAAGGGAGTATGGCTAGGCTAGGCAACCTAGGTAATAAATGAGATTAAAGAAAAAACATATAAACATGGACTATACAAAACACAAGATATAGACATACAAAACAAAAATATAAACAAGAATAAGCAATACAAAAACAAATTGAGCAAAAAAGAAAAAATGAGGTAAATTGCTTACAAGTACTCTCAGGTACACTGTAAGTAACAATTTGCAATTTGAGATGCAGGCAAAGCCAGGGGTACAATGGAGTAAGGGAGCATGGCGAGGCTAGGCAACCTAGGTAATAAATGAAATCAAAGAAAAGTTGAATAATAAACATTGGCAAATTTAAGCTAATGATTATTAACTATAAATAGTTCAGTTATGACTGTATAATTAATAAGACCTGAAGAACTATTAATGCACTCAATTAAATAATTTCAGTAAATGACTAGTTAAAAGTTAAAAATTAAGGCAGAAAATGAACCAAGGAGACTTAGGATACCTAGCCCCACTAGCTGACAGGGGGTTAATTAAGTTAATTCATTGAGAGTGATAATGTGGTGAGACAAACCACATTGGGAGAGGAAAGTGTTGAGGTTCTCTTCTTTAGTAATTGTGAACATTTTGCCCTCTGCGGTTTTTCTCACCTTTATCAGTCCATCTCTAACGAAGCACTGATGAATAGCATCTGGGTTTTGTTGACGGATTTGACGTAGGCGGTAGAGGAGTTGCTGTCTGTTCCTGGTCAAGCACTCGTTGATGTATAATCCCTTCCGTTGGGATGCAGCTGTCCGGACAAGATGGGATTTCGTGAACTGGGAAGTCAGCTTCAGGCGAATTTTCCGCTGGTTTTGACCTGATGGATTCTTTTTGCCTACTCTGTAGGCAGCAATAACGTCAGTTTTGTTTAGAATGACCTGCAATTTGTTTTTTATGAGAGCCTGAGCTATTTCGACACAATTTTCACCTACATGTTCCACAGGTATATCTTGGGACGACACAATAACAGAGTCTAGCAGCTTTTGCTGGTCTTGTTCTTCCTGGGAGACGGAACGTTGGGCTGAAAATGTACTGATACATGCAGTCATTTTGCTGAGAGCTTCCTCCTGTTTTTTTACACTTTGACTTGTTTTGAATTTTACGTAAGCCAAGGGATTGTCTTTGTTCATATCTTGTTTTCTAGAGTAATTAAAATTTCATTGTTTATACTTTGTGTTTTGTGTGTCTTCCCATTACCTTACCACAGACAAACAGGCAAGCAGTCTCTTTTTTTTCTGTAAATGTGACAAAGCATTGCCACCTGCCATTGGAGGACTGCCGAACATCAACACTCCAACACTTTACCGTCACAATATAAATATATATATATATATATATATATATATATATATATATATATATATATATATATATATATATATATATATATATATATATATGTCGTACCTAGTAGCCAGAACTCACTTCTCAGCCTACTATTCAAGGCCCGATTTGCCTAATAAGCCAAGTTTTCCTGAATTAATATATTTACTATATTTTTTTTCTTATGAAATGATAAAGCAACCCTTTTCTCTATGTATGAGGTCAATTTTTTTTATTGGAGTTAAAATTAAAGTAGATATATGACCGAACCTAACCAACCCTACCTAACCTAACCTAACCTATCTTTATAGGTTAGGTTAGGTTAGGTAGCCTAAAAAGCTAGGTTAGGTTAGGTTAGGTAGGTTAGGTAGACGAAAAAACATTAATTCATGAAAACTTGGCTTATTAGGCAAATCGGGCCTTGAATAGTAGGCTGAGAAGTGAGTTCTGGCTATTAGGTACGACATATATATATATATATATATATATATATATATATATATGTCGTACCTAGTAGCCAGAATGCACTTCTCGGCCTACTATGCAAGACCCGATTTGCCTAATAAGCCAAGTTTTCATGAATTAATTGTTTTTCGACTACCTAACCTACCTTACCAAACCTAACCTAGCTTTTTAGGCTACCTAACCTAACCTAACCTATAAAGATAGGTTAGGTTAGGTTAGGTAGGGTTGGTTAGGTTCGATCATATATCTACGTTAATTTTAACTCCAATAAAAAAAATTGACCTCATACATAATGAAATGGGTAGCTTTGTCATTTCATAAGAAAAAAATTAGAGAAAATATGTTAATTCAGGAAAACTTGGCTTATTAGGCAAATCGGGCCTTGTATAGTAGGCCGAGAAGTGCGTTCTGGCTACTAGGTACGACATATATATATATATATATATATATATATATATATATATATATATATATATATATATATATATATATATATATATATATATATATATATATCTACAACCCCTATATATAGTAGATATATATCTACTATATATATATCTATGTAAACAATGTCTCCGGACCTAGCAACCCCTCACTCATGTACCCAGCAATATTGTTTTCATTGATTACCACTTCAGTAGATATTCTCTGCCACTGAGGCTCATTATAATCTAGCCCGCATTTGTTATCCAAAACTAGAAGGAAAATTTCAATTTCCTAAAGGTTATTTTTTTTAATGTTTTTTTTGCGACCATGTCTATGTGTAAAAAATCAGACACAAACTGTGAATTATGTTCTTTTATTGACAATTGACACATAATAAATGCTTATTTATGGGTGGAACCTATTCAATTCAATAATATATTTCTAATTTTAGGAAGAATATAGAAAAATAATATGAACTTATTTAATATATACTTATATAATACTTATTTTTAATATAGACTTAGTATAGACTTTAGACTAGTATAGTATAGACTATAGACTAGTATAGTATAGACTTTAATCTAGACTATATATACTTATTTTTAATCTTACTTATATTTAATATAGAACTTATATAATATTGCTTGAAATTCTACCAAAAAAGACTCCTCATTCTCCTCGATCTGTGAAGGGTTCTCCTCGTTATGTGAAACACTGAAGTCGTTGTGGGACGACATACCTTCCTCCTCTGATTATTATCTGTTCAAAGACAAAGAAAAAAGTAAATTCATATGCAGAGTTAATTATAATATTGGTGATGGATAAAGCAGCGACAAATGTAACACAGTTAATGGTGGTTGTGACAGGTGTAATGTTGTTCTTTTTTGCAGGGATTTTCCTGAGCAGGCCTTAAGCATATGGCTGGCCCAATAAATGTTACTTATTTCTTGTTTTACTTATGCAGATTATGAGTATTTAGGACTCTTATGTTAGCTTCTGTAAGATTATGTCCAATGTGTTTAACAACTTCTGCTCTCTTGAATCTAAGTTGAAATCTTATTGGGTTTGTAACTGTGCACTGTGTTAGATAATGTTCCAGTGGTCTGTCGTTCATTTCTCCACAGTGCTGACATTTCCTCTCATCTTCCAGAACCTATAAGCCTATTTCCCATGCTCATGGGTATCCAAGCCTGATGTGTACTTCTGTTGCTGTACTGCTCCTTTCATCAAAATAAGTGGTTCGTAGTTGGCTGAATTCTTGTACCAACCCGCAGATCCTGATGTTGCAACTGCTGTGTTGTGGTCACTGTACATCACCTGCATTTCCCTATTTCTAATTACTTTCTTAATCTATGATAAACTCTGTGGTACGTAAATGTCTACATTTCTTCTCTTAGTTGCAAGTTTTGCAGTTTCGTCTGCAATGTCATTTCCTTTTATTCCCACATGACTTGACACCCAGTTGATAAGTACCTGACGACCTTGACGCTTGAGAGTTTGCATTAATGATATGACATTTGTTATCAGATGGATGTTGTCACGTATGTGTTCTTATTTCACGTAAGGTTTCAGTGACAGTTCTCGAATCTGTATGAATGATAACATGTTGTCGGTGTTAAGCAAGAGCATGTTCCAAAGTCTTTTGAATGGCTAGCATCTCTGTTTGTAAAGTCGAACACCTGTTTGAGAGTCTCCAATTAACTACAGAATTTCCTGCCTTAATTATAGCTCCGGTTTCTTGTCCCTGCTGGTCTACTGATCCATCTGTGAAGTATGTGAAGCTGTCAGAATCCAAGTTTTCTTCTATAAGCATCAGTGCAATATTACGTAGCAGATGAGGATTAGTCTGGCTCTTTTTTCTCGCCAAGAACAATCTTGGAACAATGAACATGGCAATCGTGTCAAGACTGCCATGTTCATTTAGAGTTTGACACCACTCAAACCATCTTGCCTCCTTTACCTCTCTAGAAGCTCGTCTTGTTTCATATATCACCGCTCTTAGCAGAGTTCTTCCTTCTGGTGTGGGGTTTCTCTTTAAATGTTTTCTGAAGATGTTGACTCTGTGGTTGTGTTCTTTAACTTGATTATTATAGAACCAATAGTTCCTTCGTTTTGTGTTTCTTGGGATAATGATTGGAATAGCTTTGTTTGTAACCGCTGCAATGGCTTCCTGCAGATTGGTCTCGTGTATGTTCAAATCCTCAGGTGGCGTGTATGTTGCATACCATTTTTCACGTTCCTCTTGGTATATATTCCAGTGGGCCTTTTTTAAATTCCACCTAGGTTGTGTAGGTGGTGTAGGAGGTGGTTCTAAGTTTATTGTGTTATGACAGTAGCATAGTGGTCACTGGTGATCACCGGGTCTACTTCCCACTTCCCCTGATGCTTGAGTGCTGGTGAGATTAATATAAGATCAAAGAAACCTCCTTGAATGTGAGTGGGTTCCCCATTGTTGAGAAGTGAAATCTCAGGTACTTCCCGCAGAGCTGCAGCTAAATTGTGCCCATCTGCATTGGCTGGCCCAGTCACACCTAACTCTTGATAATGAGCATTAAAATCTCCAGCAATAATTTCATTTTCCTGCGTATCCAAGGCAAGCACTGCCTCTGCTTCAAGTTTACGTCTAGGGGGCTTGTAGACTTTGTATATGAGGAGCTCAATATTTGCCATATTCACTGTTACTACTAATACCTCTACACCATCCTCACATGAAACTGGATCTATTTTCTTGCTGGGTATAGTGTTCCTGACTAGGGTCATTAACCCTCTTTGTCTCCCCTGCTCATACGGTATAACATAGTGCTGATATCCAGCTAATCTGAAGGACGTCGTGGCTGGGAAAAGTTTCTTCCAAAGCGATTATATCTGCTTTAGTGCTGATTGCAGCCTCCTGAAGTGTGTGGTTTTTCTTTCCAAGACCTTGTATGTTCCAATGCAGTATTCGTAATGTCCAGACGACGGTTCCGGCTGGTGTTGCATGTTCTAGTAGAACTCTTCTTCGGAATCGACCTCTATATTCTCCACGTCGCAAGTCGTGTCTCTGCAAATCAGACTGCACCGATTGTTCGTGGCCGTTTCTTGTTGTCGAAATCTGTACATCACTGCCCTCCAATATTTCGTTGTTGATGTTGCTGCATATTGGGCTGCATTGATTGTACGTGCAGCCTTTTGTGTTGTTGGAACCTGTGCATCTCTGCTGTTCAATACGTCTTTGTTGGTATTGTTGCATATCAGACTGCATTGGCTGTTGTTGTCTGTCTCTTGTGTTGTAAGATTCTGTTGATCTTGAGTGGTCACTGCTTCTTGCAGTTGCTTTTGTAAATGTTGATGTTCTGGTGTCTTGACTACCTGACTGTTGTTGGTAGTCTGTATGTCCATGTTGCGTTGTTTGTCTTGTGCTCCATCTTGTCTGGACTGTGTATTTCTTGTGTAACTGTGGTCTGCTGCACGATCTTGTCCATTATCACACAAGTGATATCTTGAGTCTGTTGTTGTCGGCGTTCTGCGTCATCTGTAGGCAATTGATATTGCCATTAACGCATTGTCATCACGATGATTTTCAGCTGGAGCTCGGTAAAACTGTAAATTTGTTGTGTTGTTTCCGAAAGATCTCTGCTGTTTTCATTTTTTTGCTTATGTTTCGAGATTCGTGAAATTTTGTTTTGTGAGAGTGTATCTCTGCTGTGGACGTACACGAGTGTTCCAGACGTTGGTGTTGGTGTATGTAGTGCTGGTCTGTGTGTTTATCCTGGCCTGAGCTGTCTGCACTTTTTCTTTCCGCACAGAGCAGGTTGTGCTCCAGACATGATGTTTGCCTCCACAATTTGGACATTTGGCTGTTGTGGTCTGGTTTGCCTTGTGCTTGTCTATACAGTCTTTGGTTGGATGTCTCAGGCTGCACACTCCACATCTCTCCTGTCCGGTGCAGCGTGATTGATAGTGGCCGTATTTCTGACACCTGAAGCAGCGTAGGGGGTCCGGGACGTATGGACTCTGTCGGTATATTCCCCAGTTTCCAAGATTGAATTTTTCTTGCACATGTCCCATGACGGTCACCAGAACCTGACGTGTCGCTGTCTTGTCTGCTTTTGTGCGGCATCGTTCCGCATTCAGGATTTGCTTGTGTTCTAGTACTGGATCCAGGGGAAAGTCGATTGGGTATCCCAAAACCACGACTTGTGTGCGTCTTTCTGAAGGGTCCAGCTTTTCCAAGCATAAAGGTTTTCCTTGCAGGACGGTTACTCTCTCTTAGTAGTTTGCAGTCTGTTGGTCACGTGGTGTCACTATAATTTCTCCATTCATGTTGATTCTGATGGAAAGTTTGAGCTCTATGTTTTTTTTCCATTGCTGTTACTACTTTATGTGCTGTAGGAAAGTGGTCTGTCTGTATTATCTTGAATTTTATAAGATGTGTAGAGTGTGACGATGTCTGGTGTGAGACTGTTGGTGTCCTCTCCTGTCTCACACTGTTGTCCTGTGGCTGGGTTGTGGACATATTGGTGATGGATAAAGTAGCGACAAATATAACACAGTTAATGGTGTGTTGTGACAGGTGTAGTGTTGTTAATGGTGGTTGTGACAGGTATAGTGATGTTAATGGTTGTTGTGACAGGTGTAGTGATGTTAATGGTGGTTGTAGAGACTGTAGAGTATACCTAATAATTATAGAGAATGATTTAACATTAACTTGCAGTTTACCAAAACTTTTAATAAGTGTAAGAACCATACGCCTAATACATAGCGTTTCTGCCCGTAAAGCTGTACGTGTTATTGGCTCTGCAAGAATGTAAAAACACCAATATTATGTATTCTTACAAACCCATTGTACCTTCTTGTAAATAAATAAATAAATAAAAATAAGTAAATAAAACAACAACCTGTAGAAATTACGCATTAATTATCCTGAGTGTATTTCCAATTTCCAAATAATTACAATAAATGTAACCTATATTATTATAATCTATATTATGTTCCATAATATAGATGTCTTCCCTGATATATGCTGTGTATAGTAGTGGCAGATTGCTACTTATTAGTTACTCAGTAAGTGCAGTTCAAGGGAGGAAGAAATAACATGGAGTCTACCTGTGGCAACACGAGACATTCCCGGGCGCCATTAGGGCCCCACGCAGCCAGGCTCCCCAGAATCTCCAGAGCCTATTATCAAGCCGTATCAACTCTTTAGTTATAAAATGGTTATATTTTACTAACCCATTTAACTGTAGTACTAACATTAATTTAGTAGCATATTTATTATCCAGTATTAGTGGTATAGGCTACGTATATATACCCGCCAAACTTGTGAGTAAGATAACACCCAGCAGGATAAATTTTAAATACAGTCCACTCTTAAATATACGGTTCATTCTTAATTAGTCTAGTCTAGTCTAGTAGGCATCCTTCAGTCTCGGGAGACTATGGAGTTGCGCCCTGGTTGTCAGTCCTGGTGCAGCGTCTGGTGTGACTGATGAGGCCAATCCGAGAGTGGCAGTCCATCCCACACTGAGCACAAACGAAGTCCGATTCTGGTCTGTCTTCCAGGCTACCGGCTTTCCTTCTCTGTCTCTTTGCCTCCGATTCCTTGGCAAGTGACTCCTCGAACTTTGAGAGACCTCGTTGAACAGACTGCCCCCAGGCTGTACGATCTGCAGCCAGTGTTTCCCACGTAACAAGATCGACGTCCATGGCTTTCAGGTCCCCTTTTGCATACGTCTTTGTATCATAGCTGGGGCTTGCCTGTTGGACGCTTTCCCTGCATCAGCTCTCCGTACAGGAGATTCTTGGGGATCCTGCCGTCGCCCATTCGCACAAAGTGCCCGAGCCAGCGCATTCGTCTCTGTTTCAGCATTGTGTACATGCTGGTGATTCTTGCTCTCCCCAAGACGTTGTTGTTTGTCAGTTTGTCCTGCCAGGTGATGTCCAAGATGTGTCAAAGGCAGCGCATGTGGTAGGCATTCAGCTGTCTTTCCTGATGGGCGTGGAGTGTCCAAGACTCACTGCCATAAAGGAGAGTGCTCAGGACACAGGCTCTGTAAACCTGAATCTTTGTAGACTCAGTCACCCTATTGTTGGCCCACACTCTCTTTGTCAGTCTGGACATGGTAGTAGATACCCTACCGATACGTTTGTTTAGCTCCGTATCAAGAGAGAGGGAGTCAGAGATTGTGGAGCCCAGATACACGAAGTCGTGAACGACTTCCAGTTTGGAATCGGAGATGCCAATGTCAGGTGGGGAGTCCACTCCTTGTCCCCATGACTTGTGTTTTCTTCAGGCTGATGGTGACTCCGAAAGCCTGACAGGCCTCGCTGAAGCGGGTTATGAGCCGTTGGAGGTCTTCAGCTGAGTGGGCGGTGACTGCTGCGTCGTCGGCAAAAAGGAAGTCGCGCAGACACCTCAGCCGAACCTTCGTCTTGGCTCTCAGCCTGGCGAGGTTAAAGAGCTTTCCATCCGACCTGGTCCGGAGGTAGATGCTTTCCGTGGCAGATCCGAAGGCGTGCCGCAGCATAACTGCGAAGAAAATCCCGAATAGGGTTGGAGCCAGTACGCAGCCCTGCTTTACTCCACTTTGGATGTCAAAGACGTCTGATGTTAGGCCATCAAAGACCATGCTGCCCTTCATGTTCTCATGGAAAGTTCTGATGATGCTGAGGAGCCTGGGTGGGCATCCGATCTTGAACAGGCCATCCCTGCTGACGAGGTCGAAGCCCTTCGTCAGATCTATGAAGGCTACGAAGAGTGGCTGCTTCTGCTCCCTGCATTTCTCCTGCAGTTGTCTGAGGGAAAAGACCATGTCGATGGTGGACCTGTTAGCTCTGAATCCGCACTGTGATTCTGGATAGACTCTCTCTGCAAGTACTTGGAGCCTCTTCGGTGTGACTCGAGCAAACAGCTTTCCGACAATACTGAGGAGGGAGATTCCACGGTAATTGTTGCAATCGCCCCTGTCATCTTTATTCTTATACAGCGTGACGATGTTGGCATCCCTCATGTCCTGTGGCACCTCTCCTTCTTCCCAGCAGAGGCAGAGAATTTCATGCAGCTCCATGAGCAGGTTACCTCTGCAGCACTTTAAGGTCTCAGCAGGAATGCCATCTTTGCCAGGAACTTTGCCAGAAGCAAGGGAGTCTAGGGCCTCGCTGAGTTCTTCCACGGTCGGTTCGCTGTCGAGCTCCATTAACATAGGCAGACACTCTTTCTCTCCAGGGCGCAAAGCCTGGGTAGGTAGATATGGAGGAGAAGCTGTTACCAATGCAGCAGGTCCCCCCCCTCTCCACGTTACTGAAATTATCCAATTGAAAAGCAAATGCCAATACACATGGTTCAAGCACCGTCGCAGGAGCTGCCAGAACGAGGTCGACGTCAACAACGCCTTGGAGCCTTAGGGGCTCCAACTCCGGATTTTTCCTCAAGGTTGACTCCTGAAGCCTTTCCCAAAAAAGAGGTATGGCCGCAAGGCAGCGGAGGTTTAAAACAAGGGTTTTCCTTCCCCTAGATGAGCTGCCTTCCCAGGATATCGAGTCCCATCTACCCGGAGCAGCTGGTTTTAAGGCGCCAGAGGCACGCCTTCGCCCATTCTCCTGTCAGTAAAAGCAGTTCCGCCGGACTTAAAGACTAAGGCACCCGTGCAGGCCAGGAGTTGACTTGGTTGTCGTAGGCTATTTGAGAGTATTCTTAATTAATAATAATATATTTAAAGCAAATTTTATAAGTAATTATTTAATAAATAAATCAAATAAATTCTTGCTGGGAAAATTCTTCTCAGACCATAATCAAAGGCTCCAACCTTGTGAACACACACCACCTGACATGGCCTACCCCCCTTTTTATTTTTCTTACCCCTCTTCCTTTTTTTACCTATCCTATCCTTCCTTCATCCCATTATTACACTCATCCTATTCATGCCTTTCATCCACTTCTTATCTTTCACCTTAGTTTACCTTTTTTCTAGGATTTAACTTCATCTCTTACCTGCTCCCCACCTTGAAACTTACCTTCTTCTAGGAATTACACTCCTCCCTAACCTGCTCCTTACCTCAATCTTGCCTTATTTATAACCCGTGCCTTCCTTTCTCTCATCACATACGACGCAATAATGGTCTAGGGCAGCCTGAGACATCGTCGCTTCTTCATCTTTTGGTCATCATATCTATAGAAATTTGAACAAGTTGAATTTGGCAAGATTTAGTTAAATCTAAAGTCTTTTAAGATGCATTTTAGTAGGACATAATAAATATGCTTAAAATTAGTTAGTTTTCGCACCCGTTAGTTAAATTTGGATGGGATAAGTTAAATTTAAGTAAATTTAGGTTAGGTTAGGATGGGATGGACAACCCTAGGTTGGGACGTTATGGGGTTAATATCCATTTTGATAGGATAAATGTAGTAAGATATAGCAATTTGTGTGAATTTAATTAGATTTACTGCCCTAACTTAACCTAACCCAACCTGTTCTAACCTAACCCAACCTGTCCTAACCTAACCCAACTTGTCCTAACCTAACCCAACCTGACATAACCTGACCCATCCTAACCTAACCTATCGTTACACAACTAAAGCTAAATCCAATCAGACGACTGCTGATTGGATGCTGGGCGATTTGCCTAAACAATTATGGGTAACATGCTTGGAGTGGTTGTAACAAGGGGGTATTAATAAGGAATGAAAAAAATGCATATAAGTTGAATGAGATCACAAAATACTGGTGACTAGAACAGTTCGACATAAATAATGTTGTTGAAATATCTATAGAAATATATGTGTGTATGAGGCTTGTGCACTTAGGATGCTAGATGTGGAAAACATATCTGTAAAATTCTGTCATTTGGGGAAGTTATTTTGGGTAAACAAAGCATATTATAATTGATATTGTAGACATAACTAGGAAAATGTTTGTGCAAGTTCAGTAATGATTATAATTGAGCAAGTTGTATATCTTAATTGTGCAGGTTGTGTAATTGTTTTTGTGCAAATTATGTATTGAATATATTTGTGCCGACTGTGAATTTGTGCAAGTTGTGTATTAATTGTGCAAGATGTGTAATAATCATGCAAGTTGTGTATTAATTGTTAATGTTTTGTATATGTAGTTGTGCACATTGTGTATTTGTGCTAGTTGTGTATAGATTGTATTGTGCAAGTTGTGTATTAATTGTGCAAGTTGTGTATTAATTGTGCAAGATGTGTATTAATATTTTTTATGTTTTGTAATTGTATTTGAGCGAATTATTTACATCAGTGTGAAGGTTTGACGAGCTCAACCTGTCTTTACACACAAAATACATTCATACTTATACTCGTTTTTTGGTGAGGTGATAGGGCACAAAAATTTTGGCTGAGGTGAAACATAAGACAGAACACGAAACAATTGGCATGAGAACACAAGAATGGAAGTAACTGCAGAAGGCCTATTGGCCCATACTTCCTCTTGCTGCTTCCATATTGGTTCGGGGTCTTGAAGTGGGTAGAATATAGTTGTGCATTAATTGGCTGTTGATTGCTGGTGTTGACTTTTTGATGTGTAGTGCCTCGCTGATGTCGAGTCTCCTGCTATCGCTGTATTTATTGATGATTTCTGTGTTGCTTGTTAAGATTTCTCTGGTGATGGTCTGGTTGTGAGAAGAGATTATATGTTCCTTGATGGAGCCCTGTTGTTTATGCATTGTTAATCGCCTGGAAAGAGACGTTCTTGTCTTGCCTATATTCTGAGTTCTTTGGGCATGTTCTTTGGCCCGAGTTCTTCATCCCCAAACCATGTGCCCGCTTGGGGACTGTGACACGGGCCTCAATACTGGCTAGGCCTCAATACTGGCTAGGCCTCAATACTGGCTAGCCCTCAATACTGGCTAGGCCTCAATACTTGCTAGGCCTCAATACTGGCTAGGCCTCAATACTGGCTAGGCCTCAATACTGGCTAGGCCTCAATACTGGCTAGGCCTCAATACTGGGTAGGCCTCAATACTTGCTAGGCCTCAATACTGGCTAGGCCTCAATACTGGCTAGGCCTCAATACTGGCTAGGCCTCAATACTGGCTAGGCCTCAATACTGGCTAGGCCTCAATACTGGCTAGGCCTCAATACTGGCTAGGCCTCAATACTGGCTTGGCCTCAATACTTGCTAGGCCTCAATACTTGCTAGGCCTCAATACTTGCTAGGCCTCAATACTGGCTAGGCCTCAATACTGGCTAGGCCTCAATACTGGCTAGGTGGTAATGGTTTCAGCAGCAGTGTGGGTGGTGGTAATGGTGGCAGCAGTGTGGGTGGTGGTAATGGGGGCAGCAGCAGTGTGGGTGGTGGTAATGGTGGCAGCAGCAGTGTGGGTGGTGGTAATGGTGGCAGCAGCAGTGTGGGTGGTGGTAATGGTGGCAGCAGCAGTGTGGGTGGTGGTAATGGTGGCAGCAGTGTGGGTAGTGGTAATGGTGGCAGCAGCAGTGTGGTTGGTGGTAATAGTGGCAGCAGCAGTGTGGGTGGTGGTAATGGTGGCAGCAGCAGTGTGGGTGGTGGTAATGGTGGCAGCAGTGTGGGTAGTGGTAATGGTGGCAGCAGCAGTGTGGTTGGTGGTAATGGTGGCAGCAGCAGTGTGGGTGGTGCTAATGGTGGCAGCAGTGTGGGTGGTGGTAATGGTGGCAGCAGTGTGGGTGGTGGTAATGGTGGCAGCAGTGTGGGTGGTGGTAATGGTGGCAGCAGCAGTGTGGGTGGTGGTAATGGTGGCAGCAGCAGTGTGGGTGGTGGTAATGGTGGCAGCAGCAGTGTGGGTGGTGGTAATGGTGGCAGCAGCAGTGTGGGTGGTGGTAATGGTGGCAGCAGTGTGGGTGTTGGTAATGGTGGCAGCAGCAGTGTGGGTGGTGGTAATGGTTTCAGCAGCAGTGTAGGTGGTGGTAATGGTGGCAGCAGTGTGTAGTGGTGGTAATGGTGGCAGCAGTGTGGGTGGTGGTAATGGTGGCAGCAGCAGTGTGGGTGGTGGTAATGGTGGCAGCAGTGTGGGTGGTGGTAATGGTGGCAGCAGTGTGGGTGGTGGTAATGGTGGCAGCAGCAGTGTGGGTGGTGGTAGTGGTGGCAGCAGTGTGGGTGGTGGTAATGGTGGCAGCAGTGTGGGTAGTGGTAATGGTGGCAGCAGCAGTGTGGGTGGTGGTAATGGTGGCAGCAGTGTGGGTGGTGGTAATGGTGGCAGCAGTGTGGGTAGTGGTAATGGTGGCAGCAGCAGTGTGGTTGGTGGTACTGGTGGCAGCAGCAGTGTGGGTGGTGGTAATGGTGGCAGCAGCAGTGTGGGTGGTGGTAATGGTGGCAGCAGTGTTGGTGGTGGTAATGGTGGCAGCAGCAGTGTGGGTGGTGGTAATGGTGGCAGCAGCAGTGTGGGTGGTGGTAATGGGGGCAGCAGCAGTGTGGGTGGTGGTAATGGTGGCAGCAGCAGTGTGGGTGGTGGTAATGGTGGCAGCAGTGTTGGTGGTGATAATGGTGGCAGCAGCAGTGTGGGTGGTGGTAATGGGAGCAGCAGCAGTGTGGGTGGTGGTAATGGTGGCAGCAGCAGTGTAGGTGGTGATAATGGTGGCAGCAGTGTTGGTGGTGATAATGGTGGCAGCAGCAGTGTGGGTGGTGGTAATGGTGGCAGCAGTGTGGGTGGTGGTAATGGTGGCAGCAGCAGTGTGGGTGGTGATAATGGTGGCAGCAGCAGTGTGGGTGGTGGTAATGTTGGCAGCAGTGTAGGTGGTGGTAATGGTGGCAGCAGTGTGGGTGGTGGTAATGGTGGCAGCAGTGTGGGTGGTGGTAATGGTGGCAGCAGCAGTGTGGGTGGTGGTAATGGTGGCAGCAGTGTAGGTGGTGATAATGGTGGCAGCAGTGTTGGTGGTGATAATGGTGGCAGCAGTGTTGGTGGTGATAATGGTGGCAGCAGCAGTGTGGGTGGTGATAATGGTGGCAGCAGCAGTGTGGGTGGTGGTAATGGTGGCAGCAGTGTGGGTGGTGGTAATGGTGGCAGCAGTGTGGGTGGTGGTAATGGTGGCAGCAGCAGTGTGGGTGGTGATAATGGTGGCAGCAGCAGTGTGGGTGGTGGTAATGTTGGCAGCAGTGTGGGTGGTGGTAATGGTGGCAGCAGCAGTGCAGCAGTGTGGGTGGTGGTAATGGTGGCAGCAGTGTGGGTGGTGGTAATAGTGGCAGCAGTGTGGGTGGTGGTAATGGTGGCAGCAGCAGTGTGGGTGGTGGTAATGGTGGCAGCAGTGTGGGTGGTGGTAATGGTGGCAGCAGCAGTGTGGGTGGTGGTAATGGTGGCAGCAGCAGTGTGGGTGGTGGTAATGGTGGCAGCAGCAGTGTGGGTGGTGGTAATGGTGGCAGCAGCAGTGTGGGTGGTGGTAATGGTGGCAGCAGCAGTGTGGGTGGTGGTAATGGTGGCAGCAGCAGTGTGGGTGGTGGTAATGGTGGCAGCAGCAGTGTGGGTGGTGGTAATGGTGGCAGCAGCAGTGTGGGTGGTGGTAATGGTGGCAGCAGCAGTGTGGGTGGTGGTAATGGTGGCAGCAGCAGTGTGGGTGGTGGTAATGGTGGCAGCAGCAGTGTGGGTGGTGGTAATGGTGGCAGCAGCAGTGTGGGTGGTGGTAATGGTGGCAGCAGCAGTGTGGGTGGTGGTAATGGTGGCAGCAGCAGTGTGGGTGGTGGTAATGGTGGCAGCAGCAGTGTGGGTGGTGGTAATGGTGGCAGCAGTGTGGGTGGTGGTAATGGTGGCAGCAGCAGTGTGGGTGGTGGTAATGGTGGCAGCAGCAGTGTGGGTGGTGGTAATGGTGGCAGCAGTGTGGGTGGTGGTAATGGTGGCAGCAGCAGTGTGGGTGGTGGTAATGGTGGCAGCAGCAGTGTGGGTGGTGGTAATGGTGGCAGCAGCAGTGTGGGTGGTGGTAATGGTGGCAGCAGCAGTGTGGGTGGTGGTAATGGTGGCAGCAGCAGTGTGGGTGGTGGTAATGGTGGCAGCAGCAGTGTGGGTGGTGGTAATGGTGTGGGTGGTGGCAGCAGCAGTGTGGGTGGTGGTAATGGTGGCAGCAGCAGTGTGGGTGGTGGTAATGGTGGCAGCAGCAGTGTGGGTGGTGGTAATGGTGGCAGCAGCAGTGTGGGTGGTGGTAATGGTGGCAGCAGCAGTGTGGGTGGTGGTAATGGTGGCAGCAGCAGTG